CTCTCTCTCTCTCTCTCTCTCTCTCTCTCTCTCTCTCTCTCTCTCTCTTATATTTCCTTGCAGGGCCGCGGACGCCATTCAGTCGGTGAACCCCGACCTGCTGATCATTGTGCAAGGTCTGCTGCATGCTCCTCTCTCATTCCTCCCCTCTCTCTCACTGCCCCATATGCCTCCCCTCTCTCTCTCTGCCCCATATGCCTCCCCTCTCTCTCTCTGCCCCATATGCCTCCCCTCTCTCCCCCATATCAGGGCTGCGGATGCCATTCAGTCAGTGAACCCCGACCTGCTGATCATCGTGCAAGGGCTGGGCACGCAATACACGTGGAGGGGGGCGGACCAGAGGGGCGTGATGGCTCACCCACTCAAGCTCAAGGTGAGCGTTATAGTGAGAGAGAGTAATTGGCAGTGGTTGTATGCGGTGCGACTCAAACCCCCAGTCGACCTGTTGATCATAGTGCAAGGGCTGGGCGCGCAATACACGGGGAGGGGGGCGGACCAGAGGGGAGTCATGGTTCACCCGCTGAAGCTCAAGGTGAGTCTGTGTTCATGCCTGACTAGGTTGGGTTCGGTTGGGAGTGGTTGTGCACAGTGTGTCTCAGACCCCTGGTTCACCTGCAAGGGCTGGGCATGCAGTACACGTGGAGGTGGGCGGACCAGAGGGGAGTCATGGTTCACCCGCTGAAACTTAATGTGAGGGAAGGAAAATGTCATTACAGAGGTTGAGTTCGGTTGGGGGTGGCTGTGTGCGGTGCGGTGCGAACACCCAGTCGATCTGCTGATCATTGTGCAAGGGCTGGGCACTCAGTACACGTGGAGAGGGGCGGACCAGAGAGGGATCATGGCTCACCCGCTCAAGCTCATGGCTGGGCTCGCAGTACACGTGGAGGGGGGCGGACCAGAGGGGCGTGATGGCGCACCCTCTGAAGCTCAAGGTGAGAGTGTGAAGGCGGATGTGAATACTGATAAGCCCTACGTGAGTCTGTGTGTGTCTGGCTGGGTTGGGTCCGGGCGGGAATGGTTGTTTTTTTTATGCGTCTCAAGAAAGTTTTGAGACGTCTCAAAACTATGTGCGTATCAGTCCCCCCACTGCCGGACCTGCTGATCTTCGTGCAGTGGGGCTGAGCACGCACGCAATACAAGCAGGCCTATGCAGTAAATTCAACGAATTTGGTCCCTTTTTGGATGTCAAGAACCCTTGGTTCCCCTACCCAAACTTCTCTCTCTCACGTTTTTCGTCTTTCTCTTCTCACCCCCGCAGGTCAAATACAAGCTGGCCTATGCAGTGAACGATTTTGGCCCGTTCGTGGACGCCAAGAAGCCCTGGTTCAAGGACCCCTTCCTCCCCTTTCTCTCTAATCATTACCTATCTCCCTCCCTGTCTTCCCTATCTGCGCCTCCCTACCCTTCCAGGTGAAATCCAAGCTGGCCTATGCAGTCAACGACTTTGGCCCCTTTGTCGACCCCAAGAAGCCCTGGTTCAAGGATCCTAATTTCCCCTCCTCTCTCTCATCCTAACCCATCTCCATCCTTGTTCCGTTATCTATGCCTCCCTTTCCCCGCAGGTGAAATACAAGCTGGCCTATGCAGTGAACGATTTCGGCCCGTTCGTCGACGCCAAGAAGCCCTGGTTCAAGGACGTAAACTTCCCAGAGAATCTCGAGGCATACTGGGACGCCGCGTTCGGGTTCATCCCCCAGAAGAACTTCACCCCCCTTATAGTCACACAGTGGGGCAGCCGATTCCCCTCGGTCGATAACACATCGTCGGATTTCCAGGAAATGCAGTATTTGGAGAAGTTTCAGCGGTATATTCGGTCGAGGAGTGCCGGGTGGGTGTGGCTCACGTGGGGCCCGACAAACAAGCAAGTGGGAGGGCTTTTAGCTAAGAGCTGGAAGAAGATGGAGCAGCCGAAGCTGTCGTTCCTGCAGCCGATTATGCATCCCGGGTTCGGGCCAGCGAATGGGGAGCAGCCGTGGGCGGCGCCGGGGCATGATAAGCTGGTGGTGTTTTCACCGGACACGAACGTGACAGTGATTGGTTCGGGAGAAGACCTGAGTCCTAAGCTGCGTAAGTCGGTGTGCTGATGCGATTCTGAATGTGTATGTGATGTGAGTTGCTGTGTGCTGGTGGGGACTGTACCTGGGCATGATAAGCTGGTGATTTTACAACGGACTGAGAGTCTGTGCTGGTGGTCATTGTATGGGGAAAAGACCTGAGCCAATAACTATGTGCTGCTGCAAGTCTGAATCTGTGCTTGAGTTGCTGTGTGCTGGTGGGGACTGTGCATGGTCATGAGTAAGTGCGTTCTGTTCTGTTTCACTTCCCTGGATGCACTCTTGCTGTTGCCTTTCACTTGGTCTAAGATCTCTCATCTCAAGCTCAACCTTTCTCTGCATTTACGCTGTCCTGGTCCTTCTCTGTATGTTGGAATTTGTGGTTGCAGAGCGCCCTCAATGGAACGCTGCTGCTCACAGTCCTCATGGCCCCGTGGCTTTCACACTCATGTACTGCCTTGTGCTTGCATTTATTGTGTCGCTTAGTGCATTCTGATTTGACATTGGCGGCGTCTCGTTTATTCACGGACTGCGCTACCAGTGGGATTTAGAAACAGTGATTGTGTCTATATAGGACGTGGTTTGCTTTTGTGCTGCTAGGTACTTCACACAGGCCTGCTTCTACACCTGGTGTAACACGGCGAAGGTGTCTTTGGGCTTGACGCTGAACAGAGGTTTGAAGTGGTGAAGCTAGTAAACCAGACCAGAAAATGAACTTTTATGACACTCTGAAGTCTTACGGTACTTACCATGACTGATCGTTGTTTATTTATCAACTGTTTCGTACATACCATCCCCGAACTGTCTGACGTGTAGCGAGTGATCAAAGATGACACGGAACTGACACTCTCCAGACTCGTCCACCACAACAAGCCAGTTTGCCAGGTTACCGTTCCCGGGTCATTGGTGGGAGGTTCTTTGCCCAACAACGATTGGCCACCAAGTGGTGGAAAGTTTTCCCGTTGCACTTTCGCCACAATTGCCACGTCAGTGGTCCCATTGTCCATCGAGCTTTGGCAGTAGGTAACCGTTCAAATATGCCTCTTCACTTCGTGGCCCTGGAGAAATGGAAACCTAGTTGATGTCACACACGGCGTCGCGCACGCACACCCACACAAATCTAGGAAACATGCGGCTCGCCTCGACGGGGATGCAATCTAGATTGTGTCAAGCGTTGCCTCTGCTTGTGAGTGGATGGAGGAGAGCGTGCCTCCAGGCCGAGTGGATAACGGTGTGTCAGCACCAGGTCAGCCTTACCGTAGTGAAGGGATTTCTAGCGGACCAAAAAACACGGAGACGTGGCAGGTGGATGCCTTTTCGCCGGCATTGCTTCCCAGCCAGCCGCACCGTAAATCCATGGCTCTGACCAGATGATGACGTCGAGTCGCCTGATCATCCCTATCCAAGCGCTAGGATCCTTCGTCCTAGTCTCTTTCCAGAATCAACGAACGACCCTCCTAGGATCATGTCCGCACAGCACTGTACAGTTCACTGTATACACTGCACTTGTGCTCGGATGACAGGGAAATTGCCTCACAATGAAATGTACAATAATCGTCTGGTCAGCATTACTCTTTCTTTCTGACCAGAGAATTAGAGAGCTTTGGCGGCTTTCGTGTGCTTTCATGGATGCTAGCTGCAGAAGCAATTTTGAATCGGAACTTCTGATACCCTCCATTCTTGCCTGATCAACTGCCATGGCGTGTAGACGCGTCAACTTGTCTCGAAAATATTATTTCTTGGCGATAAAAGATTCGGTCTAGAAGCTGGTGATTTTTTTGTTCATCATGGCTGATCCTCCTTGCCTTGCTGGTCAGCCTGATCCTGATTGCGGTCGAGCGTCAGCCATGCGATTCCGGACTCTGAACCCTCTGCTGCCTTCCCTTCTTGCGGCTCGATTTCGTCAGCCATTGTGCCTACACAGTCACGACACGTCACGGTGACGTGTCGCACACTGCAGAGCCTGCAGACCGACGTGTAGTGCTGCGTAGCTCCTCCTCAAAGCCATGAATGCTAACTACTACTTCAGAGATAGTAGTATATATCAACAGCTCCTAGACCAGAGAGATTTTAAGTAGGCAGTTTTGAGTCCTGAAGGGACACACGGCTAGCTCGATTGCTGCAATTAGCTTGCTGTGCTGGTAGGTTCGTCAACTATTATGACGTCTATCCGAGCAACAGCTTTAGCCTCGGGCTATGTCTCCGAGCCTTCTCGGCTCAAACCTGGTTCTTGCATCCCCGAACCGGCAAGAAACGCAGTGCAGCGCACTACCGCATTCCACGTGGCAATTCCACGTCGGATAGCCTATCAGTCGGCTTCTGGTAGTAACAAGGTTCGCAACTCATCCGGTCTACAGCTGGCAGCTGCTGATTGGTTACTAAGGGACTGCGCGGATTGTCTTATACTGAGACAGTCGCGTGGCGATTTGGACGGCACGGCGGTCCCACTAGCGGTGGCAGGAGCAGCAGAATCAGACCGAGGTGCTCCTGCGGGAGATAAAGATGCTGGCTCTAGATGTTCAGGCTTCCCTGGTCGTGGCATGATTCGCGCTGCTGACTCGTCATCATTTCGCAGGTACTGAGAGAGAGCGCTGACTTTGATTTGTTGATCGTTTGATCCCTGATTGATTTTCAGCAGTGCATATATTTCCCTCCAAATTCCTTGCACTAACAATGCACGAAGCTTCTGGTATGATTCCTGATGCTTGGACTGACGTACCTGCCACGTGGGCGTTATCTCAGGTCCCAGCGGCCGTGGCGCGCAAGGCCACGTCACCATCGGAACCGCGTTTCCCGGCAGTGCATTCCCAACTCAAGAGATAGCCCGCCGCGCAGAGGTGAGTGTGCAGTGTGATCAATGCGGCAAAGTTGCTAGCTGACGTGGCCGTACATGGCGTTGCCACGTCAGCATGAGAGCAGGAGTAAAGGGTATGAATGGACCAACATATGAACCGCGTCCCAGGAGTTTGTCAGGCGGACATGGTAGTCTTCCCCCTCACGATGATCAATCAAACGGACGGCTGTGATACCAACTCAGTTCTTGAGTCCCGTGCAATTCTATTCATCTGGTATGCAGAATGCCGGTGCTTGGTCCTCATACCCACATCTCCCCCCCCCCCCCCACACCATCCACAAGTCTTTCCTCTCGTGCTCATGCTCCCCCTTCATCCCATGCCATCCCTTTTCCCCTCTCCCCTCTTTCCCCTCCCTGCCTTTCCCTCCTTTTCAGACACGGGCGTAGCGAGCGAGGAGGAGTGGAACAAGGTGACTTCTGAGACAACTCAAAGCATGTCCCTTACAACCCTTTGCCCTTCCCTCTCCTCGCCCCTCTTCCCCCTCCCCAATTCCCCCTTTTCCCAGACACGGGCATAGCGAGCGAGGAGGAGTGGAACATCAGCCTACAGAACGCGCCTCTTAATGAGTCGGGCCTTAACGAGGATGGAAGCTCGTGGTATCGCGAGAGCGGGGAGGACGTGGGCGAGAACGGGTACCGGTGCCGGTGGAGCATCATGGGCGGGAGGAGTTCAGACGGGTCCGTGCAGTGGAAGGAAACGGTGAGTGGGAGAATGATTGTGGGGGAGACGGGGGGAAAGGGGATAAGAGGAAGGACGTGGTCGAGAACGGGTACCGCTGCCGGTGAAGGAGTTTGGATGGGTCTGTGCAATGGAAGGAAACGGTGCGTGGGGGGTTATGGGGAGGGGAGACCGGGGAGATGGGAGGAGGTAGAGTTGGGGAAGGGGGCTGGTGGGATGGCCGGGGGAGATGCGAGAGGACGTGGGCGAGAACGGGTACCGTTGCCGGTGGAGCATCATGGTGAGGAGGAGTTCAGACGGGCCTGTGCGCTGGAAGGAAACTGTGAGTGGGAACGTGGGAGGGGGATGAGACGGGGGGGGGAGGGAAAGGAGGAAGATTGGGGGATGGAAATGAGGAGGCAGGGTGGGTAGGTAGGGTTTAGGGATGGTGTGGGTGTGTGAGGTAGAGGAGGAGGGATGCGGGGGGAGAATGGGTGCATGTGCAGGTGAATGGAGCATGATGGGGAAATGCAGGTCAAACGGTTTTTTTTTTTTTTTTTTGCCATCCGTATATGGATGGATGGATATGGATGGTGTTTGAGTTGCCATTTGTTGCCATCCGTATGTGATACAACCTGGGCTTTTCTCTTGGTTTGGAAACTTCTTAAAACTAAATACATTATGTGCGTGCATCCCTTCCCTTGATCATGTGTTTGTTGCATGTTGTGATGCGCTGTGATATTGCGTGGCATGGCATGGCCTGGAATGGCAGTGGTGGGAGAAGAGCGATTGGACCGGATACAAGGAGCTAGGTACGCATAATTTCATGTCATTGCTCCAAGATCCATGAGAGGCGAGGCATGGGTGAGAGAAGGGGCGTGTGAGACGGGGCGTGAGGGAAGAGGTACGAGAGAAGAGGCAAGAGGGAAGAGGCATTCGGTAAGAGCCATTGACTTTCTAACTTTGCAATGCAACCACAGAAGGATTTGAGTTACAGAAGTAGTTATACTTGTTACCCAACCCCCCTTTCCTCCCCATTCCCCCCCTTCCCTCCCTGCTCCCTCCCCTTTCACTCCCCCTTCTCTTCCCCTTCCCTCCCCCCTCCCCCCCAGCACCCCCCGTCAGGAGCAAAGAAGAGTGGGCGGAACGCTATGGGCGCGAGGTGGTGGGAGGACATGGCAAAACTGGATACTGATCCCCCTCCCCTCGTCTCACCCCCTCCCCCCTACTCCTTAATTCTCCGGTTTCCCCCTGCAGGCGCGGAGAAGAGTGGGCGGAACGCTGTGGGTGCAAGCTGGTGGGAGACGTGGCAGGAGGTGTTGAGAAGGGATGAGTGGAGGTGAGTATCGTGTGAGAAGCGGGGGAAGGATGAGGGGGTGAGCGCGGGAGTGAATGAGGGAATGAGGGACCAGAGCAGGTGGGAGACGTGGCAGGAGGTGTTGAGAAGGGATGAGTGGAAGTGGGGCCGAGAGGAGTGGGGAGAGCGAGTGAATGAGCATGAGGGAGTGAATGAGGGACTGAGGAAGGGAATGAGGAAGTGAGGTAGTGTCAGGTCAGGGACTAGAGCGGGTGGGAGACGTGGCAGGAGATGGTGAGGTGAGGGCTGATGGTTTCAACAATGGAAAAAAACAAAACGTAAGGAGTGAAATTCTCGTCTGGGATCTACTTTTGAGTTTTCTCAAAAGTGGTTCCAGCATAGTCTGGGATTTACTTGGACTCGGACACCATTTCTGGTCTCTCCCCTGTTCCTGACTCAAACCCTCCCCTACCCCTTCCGGAATCCCTCTCTTCTTCCATTCCTTCGCCCCATGCTTGCGGCATCGCTCGCATCGAGCGCAGTGCACACAAGCAGGCCAAATCTTGTGTGTGCTCTTCTCTCATATGCTTTTTCCAACACCCCCCCCCCCCCCCCCCCTCCCCCCCCCCCCCCCGCTCCTCTTCGACACACACACACCCTTTTCCCCCCGCAGTGGTATCGCTCGCATCGAGCGCAGTGCACACAAGCAGGCCAAGTCTCGAACTGATGCCTGGACCGAGAAATGGTGAGCCGTGGATATCAGGCAGGAAAGATAGGGGTGAGAAAGAGGACTGGAGATGAGAGGAGTAAAGAGAGGAGGTGAGCGAGGGGATTTGTGAGATTGCACACAAGCAGTCCCTTTTTTGTTTTTTTTGTTTTTGTTTTTAATTGTTTTCTATTATAATAATTATTATTTCAAGTGCCAGATTGGAGCCTGGACTTGGTCTAAGAATTGGGCGTGTTGATCATGAGTTGGTGTGGATGAGAGAGGTGGTGAGAGTGCGGCGAGAGTGCAGTGCAGTGCAGTGCAGTGGAGTGGAGTGCAGTGGAGTGCGGTGGTAGTGGCTTATGGGTAGACAGAAATGTTTCTGACAGACCGTATACGTAAAGCCGTTTTGGGCCCACGTAAGTAAACGTAAGTTTACTACGTAAAGTCACGTACATGTAAACCCCCGTAAACGTAAAGTGCCAACTAAGGCTTATGGGTATGGGGGTGATTTGAGACGTCCCAAAAAGTCATGAAACTTCTGAACAGATGTCTAGAGTGTTTCAATATGCATTAGCCAGAGGCTTTGGCTGACTCAGTAATTTCGCCTTCTTTATCTCCCCCTTCTTTCTTGGCAGGTGGGAGAAGTACAACGAGAGGGGGTGGACAGAGAAAGGGACGTACACCCTACACCCCTCCTCTATCGCCCCGCCCACACTGCCCCCCCATTGCTCCCCTTCACCTCTTCTCCCTTATTGCAGGTGGGAGAAGTACAACGAGCGGGGGTGGACAGAGAAGGGGGCGTACACCCTAAACCCTTTCTCTATTGCCTCTACCCTATTGTTTCTTCCATTGCTCCACACCCTAAACCCTTCTTCTCCCCCACTACCAGTGGGACAAGTACAACGAGAGGGGGTGGACGGAGAAGGGGGCGTGCACCCCAAACCGCTCCTCCTCTATATCTCTTCTATCCCCCTGTCCTCTCCTCTCCCTCTCCCCCCTCTATCACAGGTGGGAGAAGTACAACGAGAGGGGGTGGACGGAGAAGGGGGCGTACAAGTTTGGGAGGCACGAGGGGCAGTCGTGGTGGGAGAAGTGGGGCGAGCAATACGATGGGCGAGGAGCAGTGCTTAAATGGTAGGTGGCTCATACGGTAAATGGGGTCTGTATATTGGGGGATTAGTGCGTAGAGGCACGAGGGGCAGCAGTGGTGGGAGAATTGGGGCGAGCAGTATGACGGGAGGGGAGCAGTCCTCAAGTGTGGTGGCTCGTATTGTATATGGGGTATGCATGCACGCATGTTGGGATGGGAGGGCAGCAGCATGAGGGGCAGTCGTGGTGGGAGAGGTGGGGCGAGCAGTACGATGGGCGGGGAGCAGTACGATGGGCGGGGAGCAGTACGATGGGCGGGGAGCAGTACGATGGGCGGCGAGCAGTACGATGGGCGGCGAGCAGTACGATGGGCGGGGAGCAGTACGATGGGCGGGGAGCAGTACGATGGGCGGCGAGCAGTACGATGGGCGGGGAGCAGTACGATGGGCGGGGAGCAGTACGATGGGCGGGGAGCAGTACGATGGGCGGGGAGCAGTACGATGGGCGGCGAGCAGTACGATGGGCGGGGAGCAGTACGATGGGCGGGGAGCAGTACGATGGGCGGGGAGCAGTACGATGGGCGGGGAGCAGTACGATGGGCGGGGAGCAGTACGATGGGCGGGGAGCAGTACGATGGGCGGGGAGCAGTACGATGGGCGGGGAGCAGTACGATGGGCGGCGAGCAGTACGATGGGCGGGGAGCAGTACGATGGGCGGGGAGCAGTACGATGGGCGGGGAGCAGTACGATGGGCGGGGAGCAGTACGATGGGCGGGGAGCAGTACGATGGGCGGGGAGCAAGTATTCTTTGCTTGTATGGTATGGGTGAGATGCTTGTATGGTATGGGTGAGATGCTTGTATGGTATGGGTGAGATGCTTGTATGGTATGGGTGAGATGCTTGTATGGTATGGGTGAGATGCTTGTATGGTATGGGTGAGATGCTTGTATGGTATGGGTGCCTTCTGTCTTTTTTTTTATATTACTATTATTATTATTATATATTTGCTGATATACATGTGGTTAATATCTCTATACAAATATGGCATGGCACGGCTTGGCAATTTGATGGCAGGACGGACAAGTGGGCGGAGCAGGATGACAACGGCAGCAAGTGGGGCGACAAGTGGGAGGAGCGATTCACCAATGGTGTGGGCAGGCGACAAGGGGAAACGTGGCACCTGTCGCCCTCTTCCTCCCGTGAGTTGACTCCTCTCTCTGCGGCTGGTAATAAGTATCTTGCTGCCTCGCTTCCTGTGCGTGCTGCATGTGAGAAGCAAGTGGGGCGATACTGGGAGGAACGTTTTTCGCCCACCTATTCCCATCCCCATCCCCATCCCCATCCCCATCCCCATCCCCATCCCCATCCCCATCCCTTTCCCATCCCCCATCTCGATCCACACTCACACTCCACCTCCCCTCATGCGCCTCCCTCCCACCAGGCTGGTCGAGAACGTGGGGAGAGGAGCACTACAGGGACGTGTAAGAGAAGCACGAAGTATAAACTATCCTCATGCGTGCCCTACCTGCCCCTTCTACGCTTCCTTGTTTATCTCCGTCCTACCAGGCTGGTCGAGAACGTGGGGAGAGGAGCACTACGGTGACGGGTAAGTGTTTCGCTTAAAGGTGGTAGCACTTTGCTAAACCACAAAAATAATTTGCACAGGGCACCTTTCACATACGGCGGGTATTTTCCCCTGACTTTTTATGCTGACCGGCGAGTATCTTTCACTTACAAAAGGCGAGTATTTACAAGCCTTTTGAACGAATCTCACGATAATAAACTTCTTGGTTTTCAAGAGCCCTATTTGTGACTTAAAAGGAGTTGTGTCGGGCCCTTCGCCTCTCTCTTTCCTCGCATCTCTCTCATCTCCCTTCATCTTGGTCCCTCTCCCCCTCGCAATTTGATGGTATGGCAACAAGGAGCACAACAAACTGACGAGGGGTGAGACTCTACCTCACCTCTCCTCCCCTCTCCTTGCAACCTTTCTCTCTTCCCCATACCATCAAGGTGCACAAGTACGGAAGGAGCACGAGTGGGGTTCCCGAGACTCTGCCTCAATTTTCCTCCCCTCTCCTTGCAACCTTTCTCTCTTCCCCATACCAGCAAGGTGCACAAGTATGGGAGGAGCACGAGTGGGGAGGTGTGGGACGTGGTGGTGGAGGAACCTACCTATTACGAGTGAGTGGTGAAAGGGACAGGGTAGAGACATGTGTGTCGGGAGGGAGTTATGTGCTATGAGTGAGTGGCTCTTGGTGCGAGAGCACGAGCAGGGAGGTGTGGGACGCGGTGGTGGAAGAGCCGTCATATTACGAGTGAGTGCACCCCCTCCTGTCGAACACTCGTGGCGTGCACTCAGTGTCTCACTCAGTGCGGAAGAGCACAAGGGGGGAGGTGTGGGACGTGGTGGTGGAAGATCCTACGTATTACGAGTGAGTGAAATCCTTTTGAGTCGATAGGACAGGGTAGATAGAGACTTGTGTGAGGAGTTCGCATTTCAGAAGGCGTGGCATACGTAGTATGAGTAAGTGGAATCGTATGAGAGGATGGGACAGGATAGAGAGACTTGTGTGGGGGGGGCTCGTCTCACAAGGCGTACTGGTGGAACACTGCTCGCACCACTGGTTGGTGTGCACCACTGATCTGCATTATGAGTGTGTTCCTTTGCTCGCACCACTGGTTGTGCTCCTTGCTGCCATACGTCTCAACTAAGAGGTACGTGAATGTCAGTCCCTGCACGTAAATGTCAGTGTGTCACATCTTCTTGTCACCTCTACCTTGTACCTTTGTGTATGACCTCAGGGGCACGCCTCACTACGGCTGGGCAGAGGCAACTGCCAACTCGCTGCAGCTGCTGGCGATCGAGCCTATGGAGAGAGGAGGGGAGGCGTGAGGGGGAGAGGTGGAGAGGCGTGAGGAGCAGAGGAGGAGATTTGGGAAGAGGAGAAACGGAGGGGAACGGCGGAAAAACATACATCCCATGAAGGCTGGGCAGAAGCAGCAGAGACCTCGCAGCAGCTGCTGGCGATCGAGCCTATGGAGAGAGGAGGGGAGGAGTGAGGGAGAGAAGAGAGGAACAGTGGAGAGCAGAGGGGAACAACAGAGAGGGACTCGCCCCCACTTGCTTACTCGCTGCAGCTGTGGCGATCGAACCTATGAAGAGAGGAGGAGAGGCGTGAGGGAAGGGGAGGAGCATCGTGAGAGGGAGAGGAGAGGAGTGAGGCGGAAGGAAGGGGGGTGGCGTAAGCGACGCACCTTATTAGTACGGCTGGGCAGAGGCAACTGCCAACTCGCTGCAGCTGCTGGTGATAGAACCTTTGGAGAGAGGAGGAGAGGCTCAAAGGGGAGGAGAGAGGAAGGGTGGAGGGAGGAGGGAAATGCAAGAGAACAGGGATTTTTTTTCTCTCCCATGTAGTGCTCCCAGTGGGAATGGATAGGTGCGCCTCTGCTGCTGCTGTTGGCGATATAAGGCATGAAAAGAGAAGAGGTATGAGAGAGATGGGAGAGGAAAGGTGGAGAGCAGAGGGAGGGGGCAAATGCCAGGGGGCATAACCGTAAGTTTTGGCTCCCTCCCTTGTAGCGCTCCCTAGTGGGACTAGATTGGTGTTCTGCAGCAGCTGCTGCTGATAGCGGATTCGATTCCCTGCGTTTTATTGCTCCCTGTGGGACTAGATCGGTGCACCTCTACTGCTGCTGGCGATAGAGGCCATGGAACGAGGAGGAGATGCGTAAGAGAGAGGGGAAGGGAAAGAGAGACGGAGGAGGAGAATGTTGGAGAGGGGCAAAATGTTGGAGAGAGGGAAGTGTTGGAGAGAGGGAAGTGTTGGAGGAGAGGGAAGTTCTGGAGAAAAGAAGGAAACGAGGTTGATGAGGGAAAACACAGTGGGCAGAAACCCAGTCTTGCTCCCTCCGATTGCTCAGACGGATTAGATTGGTGGCCTGTTGCAGCTGCTGCTGATAATACCTTTAACGTAAAGAAAAGAGGGAGAGTAACTGTGGAAGAAAAAGGGAGGTGAAATAAGAGGGCTACGTGACGGAAGGGAAAATCCACAGTAAAAGCAACGAGGTGCGAGGGACCCAATGTTATTTTCATTTGATTGCCTTTTTTGTCTGTTGTTTTGCAAGTTAGAATGTAACCATCAGTTGATACGTGAGTGCTTCAATGCGTTGTGCTTGTCTTAAATACTTATCATCACCATCCCTTGTTGAAAATTGATATTTTGCATCCTCAAACATATGAAATTGAGCTGGAATTGGAAATTGAACATGATCACAATGTACCGGTAGTGGACTCACTGCAAGTGTTTCATTATATGTATATTTTTAAAAGCTGTAACGCTTTTCAAAATTATGTATTTTGAAAGCGAAGCTGCTTGTAATGTAGGATTTGGCAGCGTCGAGCCGCGCTAAACGCCCGTTTTGGAGTACAAAACGTGGGCTGGAGGTCATTTCCCTCCACCCACGTCTCTCATTTTCAAACGGTTTAGCAGATTTTCCCGCCCCCCCCCCCCCCTTCGGAAACAGGATAGCCGTAGGAACATAGAGGCATATCTTTGTAATATCACTATGGATTTCAATTATACTAAACCCATTTGAAATGAGACGATGCCAATTGCTACATGCAAGAAAGCAAGCTTTCTAAATGCACCATTTTCCTCCAATACCTGTGCACGATTTAAGCATTTTACTTTGGCCATCTATGGTGCATGGTTACTACGTAAGATGTTTACTCCCTGCAACATTAGTCTGCTACTGGACAACTGTATTAGTAGTAATGGTGCCACAATATAGCACCATGGTGGAGCTACACAAGGCTTTGCATCAGAAGAGACTGGTAATGTATGCATGATGAACGAGTAGCTGAATTCAATTGTGATGTGCAGACATACAATTATTACCCTTACATTATTCTTCATGCAGTGAAGATTGAAAACAAAACCGTCGACAGGAAAACTCCTTTCATTAACCAAGTTGTGAGCTGACAGCCATTCGTTCAGATATGCAGTACTAGGACATTGCCGAATTGTTATCCACTGCACCCTTCAACCAGGCATAGTGCACTGGCTACCCCACAAGTGGGTACGAGTACAGAAGAAATTGATGTTTGGGCGGCTGAACACCGAATCCATGCAGTTATAGTCATGGTTGGTTGCCTGAATTGCCACCCAGTTAAAACAGACTCTGCCACTACGACTTCTATGTACGAAAAAAGCAACTCTAAATGGTACGAAATGAGGAAGGACAAGAGGATGATAAAAACAAGCCCTCAGCGTTGGTGGATATTTACCACACATGACATAGGACCGAAGTCCAGCGCCTTTCAGAGTGTGTAACAAATGTGATCGTCACTGGGCCAGTAATGGAGTGAGCAGGAAAAAAACGGTATGATCATGAAGCTTGCAAAAAAAATTGCAGACCAAGCAAGGGAGCAGAAAAAGAAAGTGTACGCGGTTGGTGAGAAACTGGCCCTCAGCGTTGGTGATATTGACCACACTGGATAAGGGACCGAAGTCCAGAATCCATTCAGAGTGTGTAACAAATGGAATCGTCACCGGGACAGCCAAGGAGAAGCAGAGTGACAAGCGAAAGACGATAAGGAACGGCAAAACGGGATCGTGAGGCGGTTACTTGAAATTTAAAATTTCACATTACGAGTTTGAAAACAATGGAGCCAGCAAGAAGCATCCACGCGGCTAAGCTCGCAAATCAGGCAGACGCTAACATATGGATGGAGCAGAAGCACCATGCTACAACCCACGCATCAGGTCTAGCCCCGAATCTTGCACTCGGCTCAGTTGTCGCCAGACTTTGCAGGACATTCGCAGTGCACCTCAATCAGATCCTCACGAAATTTCGGAGTCCTGCTCCTGCGTGAAAGCACAGGTGAGAATCCTCGGCGCATGTCACGCTTACTTGGATCTCTGTCTCATCTTTCTTCTTTTGCGCTTCAACCGCCGCATACGCTTTTTCTTCCACTGCAAACACAAGTAGTAACACGGAAATCAGTATCGACGAACTAGTTGGAAATTCGGCAACGGTCGAACCGAAAAGATGGATCACACGGACCGAGGGACTAAGGTAGAAAAACGAGCTACCAAAAACATTAACCTAAAGCCATTAGTCACTGCGCTAAGGGAACTAAGGGGCCAGCTGGGAAAAGGTTACTCTACCTTATCTCTCATGGTTGCAGGTTGCTGTGACTCGGAGAATGAAAAAGAGCATCCGCAGTAGAATATGAGGGTTCCAGTTCAGTCAGGCGGGCAGCGGCGCTGGGGACAGGGGGGACAGCTGTCGGGAGAGGGGGAATGGGTTGCGGGGAGGAATGGAGGAATGTGTTGCGGGAGGGGGAATGGGGAGACAGCTGTCGGGGGAGGGGGAATGTGTTGCGGGAGGGCAAGGGGGGGCAGCAAACGAAGCAGGGGAAGCAAGGGGGGGCAGCAATGCAGGGGACTGCTTTGGTGGCGCTGTTGAAGCTTGTGGTGCACCACCAACAATTACGCTTTAGATAGATTTGCTGATGCGTGAAACAGATCAGGCGTGACATGCGATGTAAAACACCTCGTTAGTACAAAGCATTTAGCAAATTACTGCTGTAGCCAACAATGCACCTACAGGTTCTAGTACCGTACCTTATTTTCTATGTGGATGTTACAAGTGCAATTGAGCGAGCGAGCGAGAATTGCACTATCGAAGCAAAACAATACAATGAGCGAAGGCATGAGCGAAGAATATATAGCGAAGCTAGCGTGGTAACGGTAACGCGAGAATTTGGGGTGCGCTACGGGCCTAGCGCCGAAGTTGGGGAATGTCGAGGCGGAGGTCCGGAGCGCGGGATACCAACCGGACAGTGAGGTCGAGTCGCATCGTGAACAGTGGTGGGAGTCGTGGTCGAGGCGAATGTCGCGAGCAGGTAACGTTTCATTGTTGGGTGCCGGTGGCGGGAATGATCATATACGCGGTAAGCAGGGGCGCAAAGTAAGGAAAATGATTTTTCCTTACACTACCCACCTCCCCAAGGAGGCCCTCCTTACGAGAACGCGAGCACATCTCGAAAGTTTCGGCTGCGCGGGTACTCGGTGAGGACAAGGTGGTTCTCGATTCTATCCAGGGGGGACCCAGTTGTCTTCGGTGGGCGAGCGGTCTTTCCAGCGGAACAGAAATTCGATCATGCGGGCTCCCCGTGGGTCACGAACTCGGTGGCTCAGTTTTTTTTCAGGCGTGATGATTGGCTCTATCGGCGATCATGTCATGCTGGCGGGGCGGATGCGAGGCAGTTGGCTAGTGGATGGGATATACGGGCGAAGCAAGCTGACGTGGAACGACGGGCTGACATACCAGTCAGCAGGGAGGAGGAGGTGGGCGATGACGGGGGTGATCATGTGTCTGATGTGAAATGGCCCGCAATATCGGGGGCGGAGTTTCGGAGTGATGGGCAGGCGGAGGTTTTGATTGTCGAGTAACACCAGGTCGTCGGGTTAGTAAATGACGGGGCGGCGGTGGCGGTCGGCGTTGCGTTTAGCGATGACGTTTGATATTTTTATTGCTTCTGCTGCTCGGGTCCGTGCTGCTTGTATTATTTCTGCGAATTGTTGCGCGCGTGGCACCGGGTTGTCGGGATTCGGGGTCATGGGTACTGTGGGGTCTTGTCCGTAGTTCAGGTAAAAAGGTGACTGTTGGGTCATGGCGGATGGCGAGTTATTGTATGCGAACTCGATGAGTGGCAGTTGTTGTTCCCACGTGGTCGGGTCGTCGCACGTGGCTCGGATTACCGTCATCACCCGGATATAAGACAGTGTTGAATAGTAGACAGGGGTTGTCTATTATACGGGTGTCTCTTATAAACAGGCTAGCCTTTTTATACGACACCTATTTGTGTGTACGAGATAA